CATGATCAGCGTGCATTGATGATAACCCCTGTTTTATTTGTTTACAACATACACAGTGTTGTAACACTGTAACAGTTAAACAGATCTCAAGGACAAATACTGAAATTGTCTGCAATTACGTTAATGCACTTTGTCAAGCTAGCTTTTAGAGGGGAAGCCATAGGTGCCCACGCTGTGCTCTGTTCTTCTGATATTCCTGTTTTCTTATGAGTTAAGGAAAAAAGTATCTATCTGATTTACTTACCAATTAATAAATCAAGATGCTCAACAACAGTTCTTAGCCTATCAGATCTGAAGTATTTTTTATCCACTGCACTAGTCGTTAGTCCCCAAATGGGGATGGTGATTTTTTTTTACTGTACAAAATTTTATCCTCCTCGGAATTTCTAAAACACTCAGAAAATTTACTCACGCAAAAACTTCCATCTATTTCACAGAGTATTAATACACTACTGCAGCAACTCAAAATTTTGTTTAATATAGAAACATGTAAAGAATGCAGTACCAGTAACCTGGAAAAAAGGAAGACTGCAAGAGATTTACAGCAGATAACTTTTTAGATCTAGATATATTTCTAATTGGTAGAAATGTAAGTCATGATCCAGACATTATTGAAGTTAATAAGACACTCTGTTGTACAAAAAGAGGTACAAGAGAGAGCAAGCAACTTGCACAAAATCTGACAGCAGATACAGAAATTGAACTCCTAATTGTCATGTTAGGGCTCTAAGTAATGCACCATTCTCAAGCTGACTTTCCCCTTTCTTAGGCTCTGGGATTGTTGGAGGATGGTTAGTTACTTGGAAGGCTAATGGTAGAAAGAAAGGTTGGGAGAAATCTTTGCAGTTATAAACCCGCCTATTTCGCTCTGCAGGAAAACCTCACACCCGTTTCAAAAAACATACAAATAGAGTCATATTTCAAGTATTTTAACACAGTAAAAATAATGTCAGAAATTACAGAATCTTCCCACAATGACCAAATATATGTAAACTCAAAACCAACATTGTAAATGCATGGTAATATTTTTTTTAATCTGTTTTTGAAACTGTTGCATATACTCTTGTGGTTACATGTATTTTTTAAATAGTCAAAAACTTTTGCAAGCCAATTAAGTAAACCTCCAGGACAGCTTTTCCTTTCTTCCATAAGGATTTATAATCTGTTTTCAATAAATACAAATAAAAATTTACTTTTACTTCTAATTTTGGTTAATTAGAGGTTTTCATATTTTTATATTAGAACAATAAGATTCATAACAATACTAGAGAATCAGATAATGAAGTCACTGCTCATAACCCTCCGTGGACTGGTTTTGCCATCTAAAGTTCCCATTTTTCAGATATGCTTACTTACTTCTGCCCAGAATTACATCTTCAAACAGTCAACTCCCCTAAAATAGACTATAAAACACCACATCTGGAAATCTTATCAAAACATTTTTTGGAAGTAGTACAACAGGAAGAAGACTGATAACAGTAAAAGGACAAAGTCTGGAGTCTTACAACTGAAAGTAGTGTGGTATGAGGAAGATTTTATTGTTGCTGGACTAGATTTCTTTTTTTTAGTTTCAGCAATGCCACATACTGGCTAAACCACAAGTACTCCTGTAGTTATGTTCCTATGCCGCACGATGCATGCTTGCATGGTAGAGAAGCTGTAGAAACTATGATTACAACAGTATCATTCATACAGAATCACTCCTCTGCTGATGTCTTTCCTATTAAACTTTATATGTTTTTCACAGCAATAAAAGGTTGATCTAACCTGTTCCATCCCACTGCAAATTTTCATCTGTCAGATTTTTAATCTCAGTATATTTCTGTGTAACCCATTAATATTTGTCCCATTCTCTCTATCAGAATACCCTGAGACACCTATAAAACCCCTAGCTAAATTCCAACCTATTTCAGCCATCATTGTTTTATTGTGACTATCTCCAACTCCAAATCCCCAATGTCACCTCATTTCTGCTACCTTACAAATGTAGCTAAATAAAGATATGAAAAGCCTTCATGACAAAACAATCTTTCAAATCTATGTTATTTCTATTTCTATGAAAATACATTACACTTAGGTATGCAGATGAAGAAATGAGATTTATTTCAGGTCGGAAGTTAGAGACTTTGCTCTGTCAAGTTCAAAACAGAGGTGATGAAACTGAAATCAGTAATGCCATATCTTAATATCAAACCAATTTCTGATTTTGTTTCTCTTAGAAAAGTCAGAATTGCATCAGAGTGAAAGAGAAGCTACTTACACTTAAACATGATACCTCTGCATATTCTCATTTATGGGTACTGTGGCATGATTCACATTTCTGGTGCTGATGACCTTTGGAGACTGCCTGGAAAAAGAGTGCCTGTTGGGACTACATGAGCATCCCCTGGTGACACTGGATGAACACAGATGTGATCCCAAATGGCTTCTCCTTTTTTTTTTAATTTATGCCTAACCTCATATGACATGCAGATCTCCATGGGAGAGAAGGAAGTAGCACCAGTGAGTTCTCTGGAGTATGAACTACATCCAAACTTTTATTTCTATTATCTTTGTGCGTGCAGGTATAAGGAAACAGAATACACATTTTCACAAATATCATATTCTGGTAAGACCTCTGTGTCCAAAAGGAGCTTTACACAGATACGTGCTAGTATAACGATGATATCAAACATCTAACAAACTAGCAGCAGAACAAATATGCCAGGAGCTGTGGCATACCCCTTCCCAGTGAAGCCAGGTAGCAAGGACAGGCATTGCAGTCACTATCTTGCAGTGTTTCTGCAGCAGCAGGATAACCTCAAAGTGGCTGGAGCCAAACATAAATGGTTAGGGGCAAAAGGCTTATGCTTCCTGCAGTATAATGGTTTCCAGACTGGACAGTGGTGTATCTGTCCCTCTGCAGGACTGGAAGAACATCTTAAGGACATAAAAAACGAAGTCCTACATAGTGTCTCAAAGAAAACCTCTCTGCCAGGGATCTGATATACTTTCACTAGGCCCAGCAGTGCTGGAGAACTGGACATTCAGGGAGGAATGTAAACTCCAGGAAGCAAAAATAAAATATGCTGTTTCAAGTCTATCTCTTTTATTCTCTTTTTCTCATCTTTTAGAGTTCTCTGGTTTATGAACCATATAGAGAGAGTTAAAGGCTGTTTCAGTCCAGAAGACTAGCTACCCAATGGCACAGAAGTTAAGTAAAGGTTCATTGTAAATCTACTCAAGCCATCTGAACAATTAAAATTGTTCACTACTGGTAAGTATGACAGGAAGAAGGCTGGTAAAACTGAATAAATCCAGTGTTCACAGAGCACAGTTCTCTGCAAGAAGAATGATTCAACATCTAAAAAGCAATTGAGATAGCTGGGAACTACAGAGATCATCTGTGAAAGCTCTGTCAGCAGGACGTGGGCTCAGCTGTCCATGTGGCACCACATTTCCCGGAAGCCCCTATAGCTCACTCAGCAGCCCAGAAAGACTTCATTTCACAAGTGGGGATATGTGGAGACCACTTCAGAGAGGAACGATGGGCTGTTTTCCCCACAACCGCAAAAATAATCTATTTGAAAAGCACAAAAATTAGCTGAGGTACAATCCTGTCTTTTACGAGAAATCGTAATAAAGTGTCATGGCAAAACAGGTAACAGTCACAGAGGAAAATATTTTGCACAGAGGGGAAGATCCTGGCTGGAAGAACTGCTATTTTGCTGTTTTTAAGTTTGGTTATGCAAAGCCATGTGCAAGATTTTATTTTTTTTTCACTTCAACAGTGAATGCTGCAAACAGCTAGAAATAAGAAAATATCAGAGGCTCCATGAGAAACAAAAAGTACAAAAGAAACGATGAAGAAAAAGACTAGTCAACACTGTGTGAGAGGAACAGCCTAATGATGAGAACACAGATCAGAGGGTAAGCAGAAGCAGATTAAAAGGAGACCAGCTATAATGAAAATAAATAAGTGAAAATAAAAGTGAAAATAAAAGGCAGCTAAATTAAATACCAGCCACATGATACCTTGCACACAGAGATGAAAGAGGAAACTTAGCAGGCAAAAAAAAAAAAAAAAAAGAAAGAAAAAAGAAGAAGCCTAAAACAACATAAAAATTAGGTAAGACCAAAGGATTGGTTGGCTCCTGAAGAACTGAGAGCAATGATGAGCAGTGGACAAGGAAAAGCAGGGCAAACATTGGAAGATCAGCAAAGGAAGCAAGGGCATGACTTTTTCTCTATTTCATTTTTACATACTGTGCTGTACATTTCACAGGCTCTCTAAATAGCTGCAGCACCTCAGCCACAGGATCCATTAACCAACACCGTTCAAATACATGTGAGTACAAACACGTTTTCACATCACAAAAGTGAGGGAAAAGACTACACTGGCATCTAGGTTTATCAAGCATCAAGATGACATGAGGGAAAGTTATGATAATTAATTTTACTGTTTTGACAGCCATAATTTCTTCTCCACACAAACATGTTCCTTGCTTCTGATAACCCAAAACACAACACCGCTTACCAACACCCTTTAGCATATGGATATAGTCCCACAGAGCTGTATGTGGGCTCTTCAGAGACGAGCCTATTGGACCTACTCTGAGTCACATAGTGTGGACTACACGCACATACAGGAGCCTGTCATACTAAAACAAAAACTAAGTAAAGCAGCAATGACTCAACCACAGTATGGAGATGTTTTGGTTTTTACTCAAAACCATTGTACTTGAATCCTGCTGGGATGACCACAGCATACACATCAAGTGCCTCACTTGTCACACATCTTTTCAAACAACAGGTAAAGCAGTCACCAGATGGTTGTTTATAACATATCCTGTTGACTGTTGGTTCTAACTACATTTACAAAACCAGTAAATACACATACCAGACAGCAAAATAATGATTCTTCTAAAAAGCCATCATTTTATGTCAGTAAGAAAGGCAGAGGAAGATATTTACTGTATATTTTAATATACTTTGAGGTAAAATGGTGCTGTGTTACTCACCTTGATCTCTTTCATGCCATGTCCGACTCCCCGCAGCTGGTGAATTTGGAGAAGGATAAAAGTCTCCTGTTGGGCTTGGCTCCATATTTTCATCTATGGAGATAGTTTTGGGTCTTTTGCTGTTGAAGTAATGTGAGATTTGGCAGTGAATATGATATGCAGCTAGTAGTGGTATATAAACTGTTTGGATTTCAACAAATATTTCAATAGAAAGTAATTGAGGCATGCAAAGCACAAAAAAAAGTGGGTATTAGAGCTTACATTAACATACATAGACAATGTTATCTAATAACATGTAATGCAGGTATGTGCTTGCATTTTTCACATGATTTAATATTTCAGAGATGGCATGAACATGTGACATAAAAATCTAACAGCATTCGGCTGAACAACCAAGAAACAAGTTCCTGTAACCCACCAAAGAAAGGTTGTGTCATGAGAGTGTTAAACACTATGCAGAAAAAATAAAAGCAAAACAGAACTGGAGGAGTATTACTAGCAAACTCAAGGTAAAACAGGAATTTTTCTGAATGTATTAATAAGGAAAAAATGTAGTTTGCTGTATTTCATCAGGTCAAAATCCTAAGCTTTTTAAAGAGGTCTAACCTGAAACAAAGTCTTTTCATTTTAGACTGGTTTAATTAAAAACAATAAAAGGCCCATACTTCAAGTCACACTATATAAAATGAGGCAGCACTTCAATACAGCGGAGGGAAGTCAAGTTTCTTCATAACAATATATACTGAAGCTGTTACGCTGACTGCCGGTGAAAACCAGGGTGAAGGTTTTAATGGTAGTGGTGTCGTCGTCATCATTATTATTATTATTATTATTATTATTACAATATTATCATCATGACAACACTCTGAGAATTAATCTATCTATTTCTAACACATATTAGGTGAATTTCTAAGCTGAAAATATGATGGAATTAAATAGGAGAATATGAGCAAAAGCACCAGGCACTGGTGGAAGAGCACCCCAGCCCCCTGACAGTCTTGTTAAATCCTGTCCTGCTGTGCAGACACTTCCCAACTCACTGGGGTGCAGAAATGTGGGGCAATGAGGTCCTATAGTGCATATGATTTCATGGTACATCAGACAGTTTCAGAAAATGAAGGGGCCCCAGGGGTGTGACAGACGGTACATTATATGGGAGTCAGAAGGAGGGCACAGCAGATTCTCCACCTCTGTGGGCCCACCAGCTGCTCCTGAGGGAGTGAATGGGGTCTTTCTCAGAGTTGGGAGAAGGAAACATGTTGAAGCAAGGAAGAAATGGGTCCCTCAGATCAAACTGCCTGTAGAAGGCACATGGAGACCCTAGAAAAAATTTAGAGAGCCTGTGACCACCTCACATGTTCCTCCTTGTTCCCACTGTGCTGGGAAATGCCCCTTGTAAGGGTAAGGCAGGAAACACACTTTCATGAGCTAGGGCAATGCTATGGGTAAAGACACCTTGTCTTTACATACCTCTCCTATCATCTTTTCCACGGGGAACAGTATCTGTCCCAACATATCTTTCAAGACGGAGGTCCAAGAGGGAGCCCTTTGTGCCTACAACCATGCTGTGGCATTGAGCCCTGCAGTAGGTTCCCAGCTGCTAGACCTTCCTGCAGTTCAGCAGCAGTTTCAGGATGCATAGCTGATCTCTCAGCAGACAATTTAGTGAGCACTTTAAACCCCAACAAAAGTTATTATCGTCTTCGGTATCAACAGCAATGATGCAATAATGACACCACTTCAGATTACAAGATTTGTAACATATATATCTATACACAGCTTATGGTAACATACATAAGTAGCCTAATCTCACAAAATCAGAGGAAATTCATAAGATAGTTGGCTGTTGATAGTATTTGTGAATTGTTTGTCCTACACTATTAAACTTCCTTTCACATTAGCACTTATTTCAAGATTTTACCTGCTTGGTGGAGAGGACAAGGACCTCTGTAGATTTACACCCGAATTCATATCATGATAATATGGCTGGCTCGGAAGCTCTCCAATTGGGAAGTTCACTCCAGTTCCCTGGGTTATGGGTGCTGAAAAACACATCATCATAATGAATCAAAGATAACCTTCTATCTTTTTAGCCATCTTTTCATTTTTGAGAGTGGGAAAAACATCAAGATGTTACTACATGTATCTAATTTCCTGCCTCTTGCAGAAACCAAGTACAGACAAGTTCTACCAATGTTTATATATCTTAAAAAGTGAATTATCTTCCCCAATCCCTAGAAATCCCTTAGCAGTTATGCAGACATAATATCTTTGTTGTGTAACAGATAACCTGGAATCATCAATATGAAAAAGGCAACACAGACCTCGGCACAAAGTTAAGCCTTCTGTAGAAGGACTTTTATAATGAGTGGGGCAGGGTTTATAAGGACAGCTAACGTTACTTATTAAAGAACAGAAATAACTAGAAAGAACAAACTTGGGGACACATAAAATATTTTTCCCTTAATATTAACTCTTTTTTACTAATATTAGCCTTCTGTGTTGACGGTATGTTTTGCTGCCTCCTTTTCTTTCACCCGGTGCCACCGGTACTGCTTTGCATATGTACACCTACACACACATTCAGCGTTATCTTCACCTCCTTACAGAGTCTGTGTACCATACGTCTTGGCATTTCAAGAATAAATTATATGTTACATATTGTGGTGTATTTACCATTGTTCGCTGTCTGTGCATTGTGCATTTTAACTACCTTTGGCACTTAAAAGAATAATTGCATGTTGTGTAATGTATCTGAAGGTTTGTATTTTTCCTGACAGTTAAAGTACAACTCTGTTGCGGCTTGAGGTTAAACAAATGCATGGTAAGAAATCCCACAGAAACCACATGCTTTAAAGCTTATTATTAGAAGTATATAGTGTATAACAGCTGCAGAAGGTACGATTTCATAACATAACTGCAATATTGATTCTCTTTTACTCTGAACGGCCTGATACTTTAAAATGCATTTAACCACCTGACAACTAAAAGAAAGCTGTATTTTACGCATCCTCAGCCTCCTAAAACACCAAACCCGTATCTTCAGCCAGCTCAAAAAAGGATATGTCTTAGCACTGCAGGATGGCAATGCTCAGTATTTTGCTGAAGGACTTAACACAATTTTAATTGTTGAATATTAATTTCTGACCACAGCAAATGCAATGACATATGCATCTTAAGCCTCACTAAGTTAACTAAATTCCTCAAGCACCCTGACCTGGAATGAATTAACTCCTGTGCAAAATTTGGACAGACAGATTTGGAAACTTGTGCCTCACTGGTTTTGTCCTCACCTCATCAGAAAAGAGATTTTCCTGGACCATTCTGTTGTAATAATGTTGGTGTCGTCACTGCAGACACTTCTAACTATAACTTTCAAGTATTTCTGTTCACTTCCTAATGAAGTCTTAAGAGAAATACTTTAATAGTGTTGATAATAAAGGGAGAAAAGAAGCATTTAGAAAGCAATGGTAGATGAAAATATGCACTGGTTTTCTGCCATACTGTTACAGCAAATTCTTAGATGTCAACAAAACAGAGCTTCTTGTTTATGTTCATTTTGATTTTAATTTCTGCACTAAAAGCTTCAGTTGTCCTTTATATTTCGTGCTACTTTTTTTTGGCATGTCCAATGCCAAAATAAGCCAATATAGTTAGAAATTCAACTACAGCCAGTGCTACAAGTAAAAGAAACACAAGCGTAAAATACATTGTTAGTCATCCTTTGTATCCATGCTGTGATATTTCCTTAAGAGCCACAAATTCAAAAACAAACTAAAAGAACAATCAGATGGTTCAGGAAAATCCAAGAATGTGTAGGACAACCTAAAAAACCTGCAAGTCTAACAAATAGAAGGTTTTGTTACGTATGGTAATTTTATTGACATATCAGTTCATTAAGCTCTGAAGAGGGACACATAACAAATTAATTCAATCTTTAAATATCAAAGAGACAAAAGAAGGCTTCTATTTGTTTTATTACAAACACATGCAAGATGAACTGTAATAGTGTGGTCAAAGATATCAAAACTGTGTGTGCTTACAGGCATTTCCTATGCATGCTAAAACTTGGGGAGAAAAAAAAACTTCAACAAAAAAAACTTTCACTTGATTATATCAGGCTTTGGAAATGATTAAATGCAAATTGTAACTTACTTCTGGACACCCTTACAAGTTCTGACACGTTGAACACTCCAGATTTTACAAAACTGTCTTCAAGGTACACTGAAAAAGATCACAATACCATAATCAGTATAATGAGAAGATTAATAAATAACTATAGATAAGTTTATACACCAGCTAACAACTATACCAACAGACTCCCAGAACTATAATACACAAATCAAAGTACACTGAAAGCTGATCAGAGGATCTAATGAGAGCTGAAATTCAGGCAGAGATGCAAAAAGTCTTGAGGAGTCGTGAGAAAGCAATTTTTTAATATGTGTATGAAAACTAACAAGCAATACACTCTGAGTTCCTAGCTAACCATCCAGACAATGTCTAAAAACTAGTTCCTTTTATTAGTATATACTCAATTTTTAAGTCAGTGTTGAACTAAGAACTGTATCAGCTGGACTAAGCAATTTCACCATAGAGCAGTCCTGTCCTTGCACACATTTCTGCTAAACAGATTTTTGCTTAACTCTTACCCTGCTGATAGTGACTTTACACTACCACCTCCATTACCAGATCACCACCTCTGAGGCAGATGAGGGTTTTAATATGATTGCCAGTAAAAGCAGGAACTAGACAAAACAGTTTTCAGTGGGGTTTTCATATACATGTTGAATTATTTATCTAGAAACATATGTATAAGAAACCATATATTATTGTTTTGGCTTATGTTTACCCATTCTAAGATAAATGTATATGATACACTTGCCCTGCCATGAGATTCAGGCATAACTTGGAGCGCAGCAATGAAACAGCAGCTGAAAATCAAGACTTACCTATCTCAGTAACTAGATAACCTTATAAAAAGGGAGCCGAGAAACCCAGGTTTCTGTGGAAGCCTCATTTCCATAATCACTGCATAAGCTGACTTGACTGAGTTTGAGTTTACATGACATCACAGCCCTTACAGGTAGGAATGCCAACCATTCACCAACAGAAATATTTAGGTCTCCACTTGGTGCACATTGCTGCTCCAACAGTATTACTTTTTTATTTGCTTTCATGTGAGTTGGTGCACTAAGCATTCCTTGCTGTGGTTTCTCTGGTCTCTTTTCTGAATTAACACAGCTTTTTTCTTTTGGAAATACACTGTCAATTTTCTGTTCCAAATGTCTGAATGAGTAAGAGCATTCTAAATGTCTTAACTAACAAAACCAAAAAACAAATAAAAAATACACCTATCGGAATATTTACTGATTTGGAAAACAATGGTTCAGTACTGTTCTCTTTAGGTTTCTTTTGGCAATTACAGCTTTCATCTTCAAGTAATTTAAGAAAACACTGCCAATATAATCAGAAAAGTGACTGTAAAGCCAGGACACTGCACTTGAGTGATCTGTCCTTGGTACATCTGGAGAAATCTCTACTTACTTTTCAGGGTCAAACAAGGGGGACAGAGGCAAAAAGAGCGGCTTTTACTGCTTACTAGCAGTCTTGCTAGGCCCACAGAGCCACCTCACCCAGCACATCTGATATTATTTACCCGTGCAGGTATAAACATTGCACCTGACAACTCAAGCTGAAAGAATGTGAACGCATCCAACCGAGCACATTTCCTGACATCTCTGTTACGCTGTTACACCTAGAAGCAAATGACAGTTTTCCCCATCTGAAAAACCATCCCAGGAGCAAGTACAGTGGGCGTGCAGAGCACCATAGGCCTGTGGGATCATCCCGAACGGTGTTATATCAATGCCATCATCTCCTCATCTTCCAGTCAACATCACTTCATACAATATTCCTGCATGCCTCTTCATATAATATCCCTGCATGTCTTTATTTCCACTGGTAGCTCTGCAGGTCTCCCTCTTTTTTCTTTCACTTCCTTTCACATTCCTCTCCCTCTCATTTTCAACAGCTTCTCTCCATATCCATTGCTTTTTCCTCTCTTGTTGTCCTTCACCTGGATGTTGCAGGCCTCTCTGCAACCTTATTAATCTTCAGTTTTTAAGAAATAAGAGCCTTTCTCTTTTACCTTCTGCATTCTCGTGCTCCCTTTCTCCATGTTTTTTGTGTGGATGAAAACTTGACATGGCTTCTCAAATATTTACTTCTTTATTTGACAGATCTTGGCACATCCACATCATTAAAAATTGCAAAGAATTAATGTTTCTTTTTCCCTTCATCCCCAGTTTTCATTTTTTAACCTAAGAATGGGCAAGCTGGATAAATGCTAATAATCCTCTGACAAAGGCAATCTTTCCCTTCTCTGCCTATTTCCTCCAGCAGGAACAGTCTGAAGTAGTACATGGAAGGGAGACTTCCAAAGAAAAATTTGGTTTCTTGATTTTAGTTGGCCTGTAAGTGAAGTGTGGCTTAAAGCCAGTGTACAAATATGCAGCCAGCTCTGGAGCTGGTAATGAGACAAGACTGAACTCCTCTACTGCTTATCCAAATACCACTACTTTGATGTACAACTTCTCTCATTCAAGTTAGGCTAACTTGAGAGGACCTTTACCCAAGTGTAGATTAGTCAAACTATCATTACAGTGAGAACAAGCCCTGAGGCTCATATTAAAAAACAAAATGCCCTTGTAGGGTTTTATATGTAAGAACACAGATGTATACGTGTGTATGCACACACACACAGAGACACATGTGTTTAATCTTCAGCCTTCTCTCATGAATTCTTGTTTTTCTCACTGGTAATGCTGAGAATACCCACATAACATAAAGAGCAATATAGTGTGTTTCTCTCCTTGTGCTAATGAAATGGGAGCAGGGAAAACATTCTGCCACTGAGTGGTACCACTATTTACCACTCCTTCACAAAAGGATGCATTGCTGACTGATGGATCACTGTCTTTCACCCAGGTTTCACCCTGCCTTGGATGGTCCAAAAATTATACCCACAGATATATGCAAATACTTTGCCTGGCATTAAGAAAGAGAGGGAACCTACTGTCAATCTCAATCAAATTAAAAAACAGCTTGATTTTTTTTCTTTATATAATGTGACAAAATATTATTAAAAAATGGATGCAACAATAAACAGTCTATGTCACAGGCACTGAGCAACTTCATTCTGAGCCTTATGTCCTAACAGAGAAGGTGGATTCCAGCAGTGCCTCCAAGTGCAGAAAAATAAACACAGTATGTTCAGTTCCAGCACCAGTGGACTTCAACAATTTTAACTAGTTAGGAAGATAATCCATGGTGGGTATGTTACAGAACTGTTCTTGGATGCCAGCTGTGCAATAGGAAAATGTTCTGTGCCATTAAACTGCCATAACTTGTTGCAGAAACATGCACTCTACATACAATAAAGGATAAACAGCAAGACTGTATACAGCAGGACATTCTGACGTTCCGACTTTATGGTGTGAGAACCTGTGAAGCTGATCTCCCTACTGAATAAGAGTTAATATTCATATTCACATTATTACACTGCATACAAGAAAAAAAGATGTGGTGATAGTCCATACAGTATAGGTCTTACTGGGTTTTTGATTAAGCATTCCCTAATGTATGGTTGACATTAACGTGCTAAAGAGCCTTAAATTAGCATTCTTGGTGTGTTTCTGATCTGTTCAGTACAGAAACTAACACACTTGGTAACAGTCTATTGTTGTATTCCTCACAGAGGATTTACTGTGTCTTTTGATGGTCATGATAACACTTTGCTGTCTTTATCGTTCAAACCTAGTCTAAGCACAAAGTATTGTCATTTACTAAAGCTCATCTTGCCTGAGATCACATTCTCTAAAATGCATTTCACTAATTGTCATTATTCTTAAAAATCTGAGTTCCATAAAAAGAGCATTTCTGCCAAAACCATTACAGTGCAATTCTGACTTCCAAAACCCATAAATAATAGTGGATTTTTTTCTGTATTTCCTTTTAGTTTTTGTACAGAGTGAGTATAAAATCTGTCTTCTCTCCTTACCTTTTTTACAGACGACTCATTTCTGAAAAATAAATTTTCCAAACAATACTACAATGCCCAGACCAGTGCCATCAAGGATGAAAGATAAACAGGTTAAGCTGAGTAGCAGTTCTGATCAAGCTCTCCTCATACAATCAGTAACAGGAGAAACCTTCAGTAATGCCTCCAACTGCTGTAGAAATTATTCTGTCCTAGTCCTTATACATTTTCCACTCTATTCCTGCGCTATGCCTTCAAAAGCTGAGCTACAAGTATAGCTTTTAACTATGCTAATACTTAAAATGGAGAAAAAAAGGTTTAAGTCTACCGAAAAATATTTTCTGTTTGCACTAACATGTACTGTAAAGGGCTTGTTCTCACATTACTTAAAAGCTTACCAGTGATGTCTGGCTTTACAAATCTTTAACCAGCCTTTTTTATGTCTTCTGATTTAATTGTACTTTTATGAATAGAACGCCTGTTTACATTCTACTGCATATTGACTAGTGCCAAAACATAAAATTGCTTCCTGGTATCATTAAACATCTATTTTTTTCACTGATACATCTTTAATTTTGAGCAACTTATAAAACAGGAGTAAGGATCCAATCAGTGCAGGAGACAATCTGTATTACTGTTCTTTTTTATTTAAGGATCTTTAAAATGAGGAATTATACAGTAGTAGATAGACTTCCTAGCAGTGAGACAGGTTCAACATCAGGAGCTACTGTGAGAAAAGAGGCTGGAAGCTTCAGCCTTTTGTACAAAATACTAGCAGAGAGATGTAGCTTGACTTTAAATTATGCAATGCAATGTTCTGGATGCTGCTACAGGGTTGTTCAACTTCTGAAACTGCTACAGTTAAAGATTAAATAATTTCATTCTATAGCTTCTTTTGTTTAAGTCTTTGAAAACTGTCTTTTTAAGGATCAGCTCTTGCTGTTCTCTGCAATAGCAAACCCCTACAGGAGGCTCTTTAATTTCAGCAGGGATCCTAGTGGCATACAGCTATGATTCACAGTCAGAACTGGTAGTGAAAAATCAGTCTCACACTGCTCATAGTAAGTTAGTATACCATCAGCAGACTTGCAGTTTGTTTTCTTATTGCATGCATTTTTAAGCCAGTATCTTAAAAAAAGTGCCAGAAGCAGGTTCCCACACAACCAGAATTACTTAGAGGTAG